TCTCTACCAAATAAATAAATAAAATCTTAAAAATATATATATATATATATACATTCATGAGAGAATGAGAATGGAAAAAGGTACATTTATTATTAAAACCATTTTTTTTCCTGGTAGACCGCTGCAAGGATCTCAGGGACTCCTCAGTCATTCCCCTGCCACACTTTGACGACCTCTGTTCTAGATAATATTTTTATCTGTAGAAATTAAAGACTCAATAGAAACTCTAGAAAAAAGGATTCTTTAAAAAAAAACCCTGCATCTAAAAGATTAGTAATTCCACTGTGTCATCACATCTAGTTTGTGTTCATATTTCTTTATTGTCTTATAATTTTCTTATAGTTTGTTATCTAGAGTCAAATAAGGTTCACATGTTATATTTAGTTGATAAGACTTTCAATTTTAATCTATTGGTTCCTCTTCCTCTTTTTTCTTTGCAGTTTATTAGTTGAAGAAACTGGGTCATTTGTTCTTGTACAGTTTCCATCATTCTGGTCTTGGCTGAGTGCATCTCTGTGGTATAGTTTAACATGTTTCTCAATCTCTGTATTTCCTGTAAATTTGTAGTTAGATCTCTAGAGCTTTGATTAGATTTGGTGTTCTTTTTTGGCTGGACTTCTTAGGTGATGATGTGTATTTTCTTTCACATTCCACCAGGAGGATGTCTTTTGTGATGTTAAAATCAATCAGTCTGTTCTGATTTGCATTTCCCGGGTCTGTTCAGGTTTTATCAGCCTAATTCATACATTATAAAATTCCCTATTAGGGGGCGCCTGGGTGGCTCAGTCGTTAGGCGTCTGCCTTCGGCTCAGGTCATGATCCCAGGGTCCTGGGATCTAGCCCCGCATCGGGCTCCCTGCTTGGCGGGAAGCCTGCTTCTCCCTCTCCCACTCCCCCGCTTGTGTTCCTGCTCTCACTAACTCTCTCTCTTTGTCAAGTAAATAAATAAAATCTTAAAAAAAAAAAAAAATTCCCTATTAGCTTTTCTGTAATGATTTTTAGGATGTATTGCTAATTGTTGCCCTAATCTAATATATCAGTTGGTGTTGGAAAAGGTGATATTCTAATAATCAAGCCTGTTAGCTGAGATTTCTTCGGTCAGAGAAGACCTTTTCCTCATCTACTCTTCCATTAACTTGAAATAACATTTGTATAGAAAGGGCCAGAATAAAATTTTGGATAATTTTTTCTCTCTATCTAGAGATTTCCATAGTAATTAATTGGTGACCTAGCAATCTCCAAAGATGACTGGAGAGTTTTTTTTTTTTTTTCTGGTTTTCTTTAGTATTATGAATTTATCAATTTTTGCCTTCCATTCACCATTCCTTTCAGATGTTCAAAGGGTTCTATCTTTTTGACAAGTGGAAGCCCTTTCATGTTGGCTCCCTTTCCCTTGGTACAACCTCAGTTGATTTTGATAGTAAACTTACTTGTTTCCTGGAACAAGAGGTATTGTATTAAACTCATCTTGTACATTTCTTTCTTCAGACGTGGAATCAGGTATGTGACCCTAAATCCTTTCAGTGGGAAATGGTATTTAGAGATCATAATCTGGGTGACATTTATGTTTGTTCCTAAAAGGTTGTCATTGTTTATAGGCCTTTTGGTGGACAGAGCTAGGAAAAGTGTATTTTATAGAAAGGAAAATAATTCATGAGTTCTAGATGCTATTTCAGATTCATTTATAAGATTACCGAGTTTGGGGCACCTGGGTGGCACAGTTTGGGTGTTCTACTCTTGGTGTCGGCTCAGGTCATGATCTCAGGGTCATGAGATTGGGCCCCATGTCAGACTCCACGCTCAGCATGGAGTCTGCTTGAGGATTCTTTCTCTCCCCCTCTGCCCCTCCTGCTCATGCTCTCCATCTCTCTCTCTCTCTCTCTCAAAAAAAAAAAAAAAAAAAGATTACAGAGATTTTGCTTTATTTTTATTCTATATATTTTTTTCTTAAACTGAAAATATTGGTTCTAAAAATATGATTATGAAATCACAAAATTTTAGGGAGGCCTTGTTCTGTTTTATTAGAAGATTGGGGCCTAAAATGCCTAGACGGGCCAGGTAGCTAACAAATAAATCAGGCCTGTTGAGAGAATCAACAGGGAATGACAGGGGCTGATAAACTGGAGAGCATATGTCCCACCTAATGGAAGCATAGGTGACTTGGTTCTAGGTAATTTTTATTGAGAGGAACTACAGGCACAGTATTGCTTGGTTTTCACATTAAAAAACATTTTTTTTTTCATTTGAATATAGTTGACACACGATATTACATTAATTTCAGTTGTATAGCAACTGAATACCCAAGTGTATCTACCATCTGGCACCATACAATGCTATTACAATATAATTGACTATATTCTCTGTGCTGTGCCCTTTATTCCTGTGGCTTATTCATTCCAGAACCAGAAGCTTGTATCTCCCACTCCCCTACACCCATTTTGCCCATCCCCCATCCTCCTCCCTTCTGGCAGCCATCAATTTGTTCTCTGTATTTATAGATTTGATTCTGCTTTTTGTTTATTTTTTTATTCATTTGTTTTTTTCAGATTCCACATATGCATGAAATCATATATTTGCCTTTCTCTGTGTTATTTCATTTAACAATACCCTCTAGGTCCTTCCATGTTGTCACAAACAGCATAACCTCATCCTTTTTTTGGCTGTGTACTATTCCACTATATGTATTTATATGTTTTATATTTCTATATTTCATATATATTTTGTATATATGATATATATATATATATATATATATATATATATATATATATATACACATATAACATTTTTCTTATCCATTCATCTGTCAGTGGACACTTAAGTGGTTTCCATGTCTTGGCTATTGTAAATAATGCTGCAATAAAGAGGGGTACATATACTTTTTTGAATTAGTGTTTTTGTTTTCTTTGGGTAAATACCCAGTAGTGGAATTACTGAATCATATGGTCATTCTATTTTTAATTTTTGAGGAACCTCCCAACTGTTTTCACAGTGGCTGCACCAATTTACATTCCCACCAATAATCTATGAGGATTCCTTTTGCTCTATATCCTTGCCAACAACACTTATTATCTTTTTGGATTTTAGCCGTTCTGACAGGTATAAAGTAATATCTCATGGTCTTGATTGGCATTTCCCTGATGATGAGTGTTGTTGAGGATCTTCTCATGTGTCTTTTGGCCATCTGTATGTCTTCTTTGGAAAAATGTCCATTTAGGTCCTCTGTCCATTTTTTAATCAGATTGGGGTTTTTGGTGTTAGGTTGTGTGAGTTTTTTTTAGTATATTTTGGGTATTAACCCCTTATCAGATGGATATATCAATTGCCAATATCTTCTTCCATTCAATAGCTTGCCTTTTTGTTTTGTTGATGGTTTCCCTTGCTTTGCAAAAGCTTTTTATTTTGGTGTAGTCGCAATAGTTGATTTTTGCTTTTGTTCCCTTGCCTGGGGAGATGTATCTAGAAAAATGTTGCTATGGCTGATGTCAGAGAAATTACTGCCTGTGTTCTCTTTTAGGTAGTTTTATGGTTTCAGGTCTCACATTTAGGTCTTTAATCCATTTTGAGTTTATTTTTGTGTATGGTGTTAGAAAGTGGCCCAGTTTCATTCATTTACATATAGCTGTCCAGTTTTCCCAACACCATTTATTGAAGAGATGGTCTTTTCCCCATTGTATATTCTCGCCTCCTTTATCATAGATTAGTTAACCATATAAACATGGGTTTATTTCTGGGCTCTCTATTCTGTTCCTTTGATCTATGTGTCTGTTTTTGTGCCAGTACCATACTGTTTTGATTACTGCAGCTTTGTAGTTTATCTTAAAGTCTAGGATTGTGATACTGTTACTGAAAGACCCAAGTTCGACTGCTCATCACCTGAAAAGCCAATACTCAAGAGATGAATTCTGATTGGAAAGGCATATGAGCTTTATTCAGGAGATCCACCACCTGGGGAGAAGGTGGACTCTTGTCCAGAAACCAACTCCAGGGTTTCTGCCTGGCCCAAAGATTTTTAAAGGAACTTGAGGGCAGTTATTCAGTAAAAAGGAGCATAGTGGTCTTTAACACTTCTTGATTGTGTGCAGACTCGGTGGTGCCAGCTACAGACCTTATCATGGTGCTCAGAGGTTGTGTATTGGTGCCCCGGGGTGGGGGAGGGAAGTTGTTCAAGAGGATTTGGTTCTGGGTTTTTCTAGGAAACAATACAGAATCTATAGATACACCAAGAAAGTTTTAGTTAATCCATCACTCGGCTAAAGGTGCTTGTTAAAACTTATAGACTACTAAGTTGGCTGGAGAGGCAGAGGCCGCGGATTCAATACGATTTTCTTTGTTTTTCTTCAGGGTCTTTTTGTGGTTCCATACAAATTTTAGGGTTGTTTGTTCTAGTTCCGTGGAAAATGCTGTTGGTGGTTTTTGCGTTTTTAAAAAGAAGATATAATCTAGGTGTATTATGTGAAATTATTTAGCTATTAAATATTGACAACTGGGGCGCCTGGGTGGCTCCGTTGGTTAAGCGTCTGGTCATGACCTTCAGCTCAGGTCATGATCCCAGGGTCCTGGGATCGAGCCCGCTCAGCGGGAAGCCGGCTTCTCCCTTTCTCTCTCCCTCTGCCTGCCACTCTCCCTGCTGTGCTCTCTCTCTCTCTGTCAATAAATAAAATCTTTAAAAAAAAAGAGTTAAATAACTGTTGACAACTAATTCAAATGTTTAAAAGGGCTAAACAAGTATTTTCTGCCATAGGCTTTTAGTTTGTGACTTCTTGTGGACAAGCTCTAAGGAACCGATGGTTAAACTAGCCTTTCAGGTTCTTCTAGACCTCAGGCAACCTGAAAACTGCAATGGGAAAGAGCAGGAGGAAAAGGACTTAATCATCTTGGTTTTGCTAATTGTGATGCATTTATTTATCTAACTTCTCTTTTTGAGCTTTTTTAAAAATTTAAATAGCTCTATTGATCATTAATTTTGCTTTTTGTTTCTTTTTTCACATTCAAAATAGGAACTGACAACATCTCAGGAAAGTGGTGGAAATGTTCTTCAGATGATGTACGAGAAACCTGAACGGTGGTCTTTTACCTTCCAGTCATATGCCTGCCTCAGTCGAATACGAGCCCAGCTTGCCTGTCTTGATGGCAAGCTCAAAGATGCAGAGAAACCTGTATTATTTTTTGAACGATCTATATATAGTGACAGGTATATATAAATGACTTGCCCTTGTCATTCTGGAATCGTGGCTTGGAACTGGGATTTTTATTTCTGTTTCTGATAATTAAAGGAATAAGAGAGGCTGTGTTGAGGATTTGAGATGCAACATTACCTTTAGCAGTTTGGTAGCAACGGCATTCTCTAGTTCTAGCGTTAATAATTGCTAGCTTCCATGGAAACTTTAGGGAATATGATAGCCATTTCATTCAGATTTGCAGAGAGTTTTTTTTCTTCCAACCGTCTTAAAGTTTTAATCTACTCTGGTTAAGTCTGGATCTATATTCAAGACTTGCATCTTGAGCAAGATCAAAAATCTCTAAGGGGGCCTTAGAGTTACCCTGCTTATGCAAGGATTCTTTTAAGCTAGAGAGTTGGCTCAGAACAAAGGTTCTCAAACTTTGGTCTCAGGATCCCTTTTCATTCTTTTTTTTTTTTTTTTAAAGATTTTATTTATTTATTTGACAGAGAGAGAGCGAGAGCAGGAACACAAGCAGGGGGAGTGGGAGAGGGAGAAGCAGGCTTCCCGCCGAGCAGGGAGCCCGATGTGGGACTCGATCCCAGGACCCTGGGATCATGACCTGAGCCGAAGGCAGACGCTTAACGACTGAGCCACCCAGGCGCCCTCCCTTTTCATTCTTAATATAATTATTGAAGAGCCCAAAGAGCTTTGTGTCTTACTGATATTTATGTTATTAAAAATGAAGATTGAAAAATATAAAGAACATTTACTAATTTATTTAAAATTAGTAATAATAAACCCATTGCATATTAGCATAAATAACATACTTGTAAAAATTATATTTTTCAAAACAAAAAATTAGAAGAGGATTGTTTTATATTTTTGCAAATCTCTTTAATGTCTAAATGGGAGATAGCTGGATTCTCATTTATGCTTCTATATTCAATCTGTGTACATGTGGTTGAAGTATTGTATATACAGTAATCTGGCCTCTCATGGAACCCTTGGAAAGATCTTGGGGACTAGCAGGGGTCCTTACACTACATTTTTGAGAACTGCTGGCCAAGAACATATTTCTTGTAGTTGGAGGTATTCTGTTGATTTTTTCTGCTAAGGCATTATCTGCCATGGATTTTAGGAGAATGTTCCATGTCCATTTAGTAGATTTATTTTCTCTTTTCTATTTCTTTGTGTTTTTTGGAAAGGAATTATGTTTTGATGTAGACTCTCTTTCAGGTATGTCTTTGCATCTAATTTGTATGAATCTGACTGCATGAATGAAACAGAGTGGACAATTTATCAAGACTGGCATGACTGGATGAATCAACAGTTTGGCCAAAGCCTTGAACTGGATGGAATCATTTATCTTCGAGCCACTCCAGAGGTGAGACTCAATAAAAATTTGCTTGCTAAGGCACCTGGGTAGCTCAATCAGTTAAATGTCTATCTTTGGTTCAGGTCATGATTCCAGAATCCCAGGATTGAGCCCCGAGTCAGGCTCCCTACTCAGTCGGGCTCCCTGCTCAGTGGGGAGTCTGTTTCTCCCTCTCCTTTTGCCCCTCCCCCATGCATGCTCTCTCTTTTCTCACTCTCTAAAATAAATAAAATCTTCAAAAAAAAAGTGTTTTAAAAAAATTTGCTTGCTCCATTGACAATTTAAAGTAATATTTAGAAGTCCTTTTAGTGGTATTCAGTGAAGGCAATTTAGTTTAACTCCACTCCCTACTCTCTACTCCCCACATCCAAATTAGAAACTCAAACTGTATAGACAGAAGTATTCTCTTTTCCCAGCAAAGAAGAAACCCAGATTTGGCAAGTTGCTCTGTTAGGCCCTTCTCTGTGCTTCCTCAGTTTTGTTCTTCATTATTTCTTCCCAACTTCTGCAAGGTCTCTTATCTATCACAACTAGATTAAAAAATTTGCTCAAGCAACTCCTAGAATATAGGCTTCTTGGTCTGAGACCGGGTATTTTAATTACTGTTGAATTTCCATTGCCTAGAACAGGGCCTACGTACATAGTAGGAACTCAGCAAATATTTGTGAATGAATCGCAAAGTTGATGAAAGTCCATTTTCAAGAAATCTTTTATGTTTGTTCATGGGTCGGACTGGATAGCAGCTTCAGTTGAGAAGAGACTTAGAGGACCCTTACCATTTTCAGTTAAGGGAGCTTACTTGAAAATGTGCCTTTCGTGATAGGTTATAACATAGCCATTCTTTTTTTTTTTTTTTTTTTTTAAGATTTTATTTATTTATTTCAGAGAGAGAGACAGAGATAGCAAGAGAGAGCACGAGCAGGGAAGAGAGGGAGAAGCAGTTGCCCTGCTGAGCAGGGAACCCGATGTGGGGCTCCATCCTAGGAACCCTGGGATCATGACCTGAGCTAAAGGCAGATGCTTAATGAGCTGAGCCACCCAGGCACCCCCATTCTTGTTTATATATGAAATTATGTAATGAACCCAGGAAGTGGATTCCTTTCATAAAGCTAACCTAAATAAGAGCTTACTTTATTAACAAATTTCTGGTTTTCGTGCTTACATTCCAGTTTTTCTATGTTTTTTATTCCTGTGTCTTCCCTAAGCCGCAAAGTAGGCTCTGATGAATATAAATGTCATGACCTCTAGCCTGAAAGAATACTGTGTTGTTATTGAAGCTGAATTTTCAAAGAAACTAGGTTTCGGATTCCAAGTGATGATTTTGTTCTTCTTTTTAATATCAAGGAAGCCAGAATTTAACAATAATTTTGAAATTCACTCTTTTATTTTTTGAAAAGAATTTTTTGTTTTTAATGAAGAAAATAGTAAATGCAAATGTAGAACATAAAGAATACTAATAATTTCATTTTGCTAGAAAATATAGCCAATATCTTAAAGTCTTTAAACACAAAACTTTGATTTTTCAATATTATTTATAATATCTTTTGATTGCAGGATCATTTAAGTATTTGAAAAGAGGATTTATAATAAATTTTGCAGCACAATTTGTATATTGAACTTTTTACTGAACTTATTTTATACAGTATTTTTCAAGTATGGATCCCATACGTTTATAGACTGAAAGTACTACTTGGTTTAGAGATACCAAATGGTTGAAAAGCACAAGGAGGGAAAAATGAACTATTTCAACTTTCTAGAAGGAATAAATGGAGATTTTGGCTAGCATAACTAAAGAGATACTAGAGAAGAAAAATTTAATGGCCTCAGACAAGAATAATTGTTCCTTGCCCCCAACCCCTTTCTTATTGTTTGCTTTTAGAAATGCTTGAATAGAATATATTTACGAGGAAGAAATGAAGAACAAGGCATTCCTCTTGAATATTTAGAGAAGCTTCACTATAAGCATGAGAGCTGGCTACTGCATAGAACACTGAAGTAAGACTTCCTTATTCTTATTTACTATTTATTTTAAAGACCTTTATCAAATTTTAATCTAAACATGTACAGATTTTCATTTCAGCCATTTTTATTTTGAACTAGTATTATAGGATCTCCCAGAATTAGGTGTGAATTTCGCCTCTTTTTATTGTAATGAGATCCTATTTTCTTAAAATTTTTATATCTGATCTCCTCCAGAGGTATTGACAGCATGATATATGGAATTTAAGTGATGAAGTAGGAAATATATCTGTGTGCAGATATATTAGGTACTCACTTTCAGAGAGAATTTAAGATAAGATACTTCAGATTTATTTTTTAGATCAAGGCTTGGGAGGTAGTATAGCACAGTTATTAAGAGCATGGACTTTGTTGTCATTAGTCAGATCTTGGGTCAAATCCAGGTTTGTTAGTGTGTAACCTTAGGCATGCATCCCCTGAGCCTCAGAGTGACCTTCCTGAGCTTTAGTTTTCTCATCTTCAAAATGCAAACATTCCTTACTTTAGGGGAAGTTTTTGGTTTTTGAGAAGAATTACATGTCTTAATGCCTAACTTTATATATTTTATACTTGAGATTTTTAGATATTAGCATTATTATATAGTAGTAAGTCTAGGGGAGAAAGAAGGGGCTTCCAGATAAAGTACTTGCTGGATAAATTTAATGTAAAATGATTGACAACATTTTAATTTTCCAGAGATAGTATAAGAGTGAGTTTTTAGTGTTTGTCTTTTATTTATTGCTTTTTCTAAATTTTTTTTTCCATCTCTCTCTTTTTTTAAAATAGAACCAACTTTGATTTTCTACAAGAAATCCCTATTTTAACACTGGATATTAATGAAGACTTTAAAGACAAACACGACGGTCTGATTGAAAAGGTAGATTTATACAAAGACTATACACTAATATTTGTTTTGTCTTATCTAGAAAAGTGTTGTAACTTGTGAGAAAACAATTTTCTAACAGAAAAGAATACATAAAATTACAGTAAGAAATAGTTAAGAGTTTTAGAGGGGTTTAGACCTCAGATAATAATCCTTTTTAAATTCTAGCTTTGTGGCCTTACCTAAAATGAGGAGGTTCTTTTATCCTTTAGTCCCTTTATCTATAATATAGGGATAATCACATTAACAAAAGTTCTTACTCACCCCCTTCTCTGCTTTGTTCCCTATTCTTCCCCTCTTCCCTCTATCACCAATCTTTAGGTATTTGAATAATAAACTACTTGTGAAATTAAATTCATCTTTATCAACTAAATTCAGTATGGAAGATATTTGAAGTTGTAGGATAAAGATTTCATCCATTTTTATATTAGCTAAAGTCTTGAGATTAGAGGATTTTTAGTTTCGAGTTTTATGTGGGACCTTGTCAATGAAGAATTGGCATTGCCTGATCATTGAGTCATTGTCCTAATCAGAGTTAATCTATCATCTATGTATTTGGGAGCTGATTACATTCTATTAGTGAATGGTGCCTGTACTGATAAAGGGACTGGGAGAAAACCTATTGATGTACACTTGAGAGAGAATAGTAATGAGAACTGTATAATAAATATCCCGTTATCCATGTTAATTAACTTAGTGGTGATCCAAGGTCTAAAAACGAAGCCACATTTTTTTGGTTTGTTTAGTTTTAAGAGAAATTTGATTTTTTTTTCTCCTTCATAAAATGCCTGCTATTTACTGTAACAGAAACCTGATATTCATAACGGATATATCTCAAGAATTTTGAAAATCTCAACATTTATTATTAAAACTCTGTACCATATAGTTGTTTTTCTCAGGATAGAAATAAAGTAAAGCATATCTGGAAAATTCAGATGACGTCTTCATACTATAATGATGTTAAAAATATAGGATATAGGGGCGCCTGGGTGGCACAGTCAGTTAAGCCTCTGCCTTCGGCTCAGGTCATGATCCCAGGGTCCTGGGATGGAGCCCCACATCGGGCTCCCTGTCAAGCAGGGAGCTTGTTCCTCTTTCTTCCTCTTTCCCTGCTTCTTCCTCTTTCCCTGCTCATGCGCGCTCTCTCTCTCTCTCTCTCTCTCTCTCACTCTCTCTCAAATAAATAAAACTTTAAAAAAAATTTTTTTAAAATAGGATATAATTCATTTGTAATACTATGAACATAAATGAAATAAAATTAAATCAGCCATTGTAATACTAACAGCCAACCAACATTTTTAACTGAGTTGAATCTATAAAACCACCTTTTAATTTTCTCTAACACTTCTGTTTTGACTAAGAATAGTCTTTAAATGTTATTGTTTACTTTTACTTTCATTAATAATGCTAGAAGTTGGCTTTCTTTTTCTTACTGAAATCCATAACTGACATACAATGTTATAGATAGTTTCAGGTGTACAACATATTGATTCCACAATTCTATATGTTATGCAGTGCTTACCACCATAAGCGTAGTCACCATCTGTCACCATATAACATTATTACAATAGTTATTTTTTCGGTATTTCTTTTTTAGGTATTTCTTTAGGTATTTTTACAAGGCAATAATCTTCGTTTCTTCAGAAGAAGTACTGTGTCATCTAGAATTTATGGAGAACAGAATCTTTTTGCATTGTGATGTTGGTCAGTTGGTTAGGTTCATTCACAACTTATATGACGTTTCCTTGCATATTAACATCACAGATTTGTATACATGATTCAAATTTGTGCTTCAGAAAAATTACAAAGTTTACATGTCTGGACCTTCAGAGTTGTTTAAATCATCACAATTACTTATGTTTTTGGTGCTAAAGCTGTACGTCAGTGGTCTATGTTATTATAAAGAGATAATGAAATTGTGTTAAGGCTGTTATAGAACTGTATCAATCTTAGATGTAAATTTAATAACTCCTGTAATGACATTTTGGGTCATTTATCTTTTTTTTTTAAAGATTTTATTTATTTATTTAACAGAGAGAGACACAGCGAGAGAGGGAACACAAGCAGGGGCAGAGAGAGAGGGAGAAGCAGGCTTCCCACCGAGCAGGGAGCCCAATGTGGGACTCGATCCCAGGACCCTGGGATCATGACCTGAGCCGAAAGCAGACGCTTAATGACTGAGCCACCCAGGCGCCCCAGGCGCCCCTAAGTCATTTCTCTTTTACTACCGAAGTACTAATACATCTTTTGAAAATAAATGCTGTGGCTTTGTGACGGAGTTACTTATACAGTTTGGGTCTTCAGCTGTTCTATACTATTAAATAGAGATGAAAATTAGACATTTCCAATTAGTGAAGGAATTACATTAATATTTATTTCCTCCCCTCAGGTCAAAGAATTTTTGAGCACTTTGTGATTTTGCTGAAGACTACAGGCAACCAAATGATTCCAGCTTTGTGTATCTTCGTAGCTCAATATTGATACAAGTCTCTAGAAACACAGGTTTTTTACCATTTTTGTTCCAAGAAAAAAATTGTTTTGATGAATTCTATATAAAAGTTTATGAGCAGTTTCTTTTCTTTTTTGCTTTAAAAAAATAAGACATCTAAATATCTCTCACGACAAAAAGTCTAGAGGTAGATGGTTCCAGAGTAAGTACTGGCTAAATTACATCATAAAGGACCCAGCCTCCTTCTGTTTTCCCCTCTATTATTCTCCTCAGCAGGTTGTCTGCCCATCCCCCCTTGCTTCTTATTTCACTGGTGACCAGTTTCTTAACTGGGAACTTTAATATTACATGTAAATGGTAATGTGACCTGTGTAAATTAGAGTACCTAATACAAGCTGAAAAGTGGAATTTGAGGAATCCCTAAAAAAGGATTATGAAGTTTTATTTTAAATACTTTTGATCAAGTGCCTCCCCTTCCATCTTAATTTATGTGGAAGATAAGACCAGTTTAGCATTTAATCACTTCATTGATATTTATGAATGTGTCTATAACTCATTAATAAAGGAGCAGGTCAGACTTTGTTTAACAGCATAACTTATCAGTATTTAATCTTTTTTTCCTGCTTTTGTTTCCACATTTGTGGTATGGGTGAGACTGCATCTTTTTGCATGGGATTTTAGAGGATTAAAGAGGAAATGATAACTTAAAATGTTTCTGTATTTAAAAGATAAATGAGTTTAAAGATTCAATTTATATGGAGCTTAAAATAGCTACCTACTTTCTCTCAGACCATTCTTTTAGAATGGAATATTACTCTTATAGTTAAAAGATGGTTTAAATTATGATTGTCTTTAACTCATATGAGGTGAAATTATAGTTTTCCCTAAATTTCTTCCTATTTTTATCGGTAAAAATTTAGTGGAACATAACAAGGGATAAGTTTTTCTATTTTATTTTTTGTTGACCCTGTACAGGGAATGAGTAGTTTTTCTTTACCTTTATACTTGGTGAGAAGTCAAAACAGAAGCTGAAGACAAGATAGATTATCTTCTTAGCAGTGCAGTCTCTTTTATCCCAGCTCTTACTTCCTGCCCTTACTTTCTTGCTCTCTGGATTAATTAGGCAGCCTGCTATTTTCTTCTTCTTTTTTTAAGTTTTTATTTATTTATTTTTTTAGTAATCTCTATACCCAACATGGGTCTCCAACTCACAACACCAAGATCAAGAGTGCATGCTCTTCTGATTGAGCCAGCCAGGCACCCTGGCAGCCTGCTATTTTAAAGTTTAAATGAAAGTCACACATTTCTGCTTTGAGAACATCATGATCACTCATCACTTCACAGTTTGCTTTGCTTCTCTGTAGGGTTATACCTTAGGGTTTTTTCCTCCTCCTCTAAATTACTGATAAAAATCATCTTGTTTTATATGTTCTGTATCTTGAAAGCATTATCATTTTTGTTAAGTATATATAAGGAAATATAATAGTAAAGAAGACAAGGAGGTAGAATAGTTGTAATTTTTAAAAATCTGCATGGATTCATTTTAGGTCTGTAGATAAAGGTTTTTTTCAAGTTTGTTTAGTTAAGGTGTGTAGTGTTTTTTCTATGTATTTAACCTTTCTACTTGACATTTTCGAAAAATTCTGTTTTTGAAATGAGGGGAAGAGTCATTTTGACTTTGAAACTCGTTTTCCTTTTTAAAATGTCATTTTTTGTTTTGGTTTTTTGATAATCAAGGATGATAATTTTGTAGGTTAAACGTTCCAGATGCACTGATCTTTTGAAAGGGAGACTTTGTCTCAAGTTCTACACTCACCATGAATATTGAAACTATCTCATGATATTGTATGGGGTTTTTTTGTTTGTGTTTGATACAAATAAATTTGCTTACTAAATATTAGCTTAATAAATAAATATAAATCTCATGAACTGTGATAGAGCTATACCAGTGAAATGATTATCTTTTTAAAATTAAAATTTATTCTACTTTTGAAGAAAAAATTATGAATATAAAAAGGTGACAGTGGTTTAAATAACATTGATTCTGTTTTAAGTGAAGACATAATTTAGAGATTTTTAGTAACCTCTAGAAATGTTTAACTTAATGTCTTTTTAAAATCTGTAGAATTGAATAAAAGCTTAAAAAATTTGTTTGTTATGACTCAAAAGCTGTACCATTGGGTGGGTACAAGAGTATTGAGCCTAGAGGTCTGAATTATCTTTTTTTTTTTTTTTAAGATTTTATTTATTTGCGAGAGAGACAATGAGAGACAGAGAGCGTGAGAGGGAGGAGGGTCAGAGGGAGAAGCAGACTCCCTGCCGAGCAGGGAGCCCGATGCGGGACTCGATCCCGGGACCCCAGGATCATGACCTGAGCCGAAGGCAGTCGCTTAACCAACTGAGCCACCCAGGCGCCCCTGAATTATCTCTTTGGATCCTATTTCCCATACTAGATCATCTTACATCAGACTATATGTACTAATTTTTATAGTTGACTCTTTTAAGAAGGTAATTTTAATTGTGCATTCCCTCATCAGAATATTTTCATCTTCTATGTCTGAAACTTTGAGCACGGTATACTGAACCCCCTAGAAATTAGGCCTGTCATATTTTAAAGGACATAGAGTCCCAAAGTATTTTTTTATGGAGAGATGTAAATTTTATTACCTCCAGAAATGCTAAGCCAGATTACAGACCTTATTTGGATTTTATCAGTCTCTCTCTCTTTTTTAACTTTTTAAAATAGACTATTTTTTAGAGCAGTTTAAGGTTCACAGCAAAATTAAGTAGGAAGTACAGTTCCCATATACTCTTTTCTCCCATATTTGTACAGCCTTTTCCACTATCAATATCCCCCACCAGAGTGGTACACTTGTTTTAAATCAATGAACGGACATCGACACATTATCACGCAAAGTCCATAGTTTACATTAGGTTTATTCAGTGTTGTGCATTTGTGAGTTTTGACAAATGAATAATCACATATATCCACCACTGTAGTATCATACAAAATAGTTTTATGGCCCCCAATTCCTCTGTGCTCTGTTTATCACCCCCACCCAACCTCTGGCTACCACTAATCTTTTTATTGTCTGCATAGTTTTGCCTTTTGCAGAAAGTCATTTAGTTGGAAGCATTCAGTATGTAGCCTTTTCAAATTGGCTTCCACTTAGTAATTTGCATTTAGTTTCCTCCATGGCTTCTTTTCATGGCTTGATAGCTTGTTCTTTTTTTTTTTTTAAGCACTGAATAATCCATTGTCTCCATGTACCATCGTTATCCACTCCCCTGCTGAAGGACATCTTGGTTGCTTCCAAGTTTTGGCAGTTATGAATAAAGCTGCTATAAACATCTGTGTAGATTTTTGTGTGGACAAAAGTTTTCAGGTCACTTGGGTGAATATCAAGGAGTGCAGTTGCTGGATTGTATGGTAAGAGTGTGTTTAGGTTTTTAAGAAACTTCGTAACTGTCTCCCAGAATGGTTGTATAATTTTGCTATCTTACTAGTAATGAATGTGAGTTCCTGTTGCCTCACAACGTTGCCAGTACTTGGTGTTGTCAGTGGTTTGGATTTTGGCCATGCTAATAGGTATATGGTTGTATCTCGTTTTAATTTGCAATTTCCTAATGACATGATATTAACCATCTTTTCATATGTTTATTTGCCATCTGTATATCTTTGCTGAGGTGTCTTTTAAGATCTTTTGCCCATTTTTAATTGGGTTCATTTTCTTATTGAGTTTTAAGAGTTCTTTGTATACTTTAAATAACAGTCCTTTATCAGATGTGTCATTTGCAAATACTTTCTCCCAGTCCGTGGTTTATCTTACCCTCTTGACATTGTTTTTCACAGAGCAGAAATTTTAATTTTAATGAAGTCCAGCTTATTAATTATTTCTCTTACGGATTATATCTTATGTTGTTTCTTTTTTGTTGTTGTTTTGGTTTTTTTTGTCCTATAACTTGTGTTGTTTCTAAAAAGTCATTGCCATACCCAAGGTCATCTAGGGTTTCTCCTGTGTTACCTTCTAGGACATTTTGAGTTAATTTTTGTGAAGGGTGTAGAGTCAACGTCTGGATTCCTTTTTTTGTTTGTAGATGTCCGGTTGTTCCAGCACCATTTGTTGGAAAGATAATCTTTGCTTACTCTACTGTCTTTGCTCCTTTATTGAAGGTCACTTGACTATGTGTACATTGATCTCTTTGTCTATTCTTTTGCCATACTGTCTTGATTAGCTTTATATTAAGTCTTGAAGATGGATAATTTTGTGTTTCCTAGAGGCCTGAGCTACTTAGGTTTAGTAATACTTTGGAGGCTTTTTGAGGCTCTCCTAGTAAGGTTTTTTTTTTTTTTTTTAAGTATTTATTTGTATGATGAAATTTTTTCTCATCTTCAGTTAGTTGAATTAATTTTTTTCCTTATTCTATATAGTTCCTTACAATGTCATTAATTATAAAGTATGTTAGTCCTGAGATTAGTAATGCCAAATCCAGTCTTCCCCCATAAGAACTGTTCAGTTAATAACTTTTTGCCATAATATGTCTTGGAAAGTTCTATTACTTTACAGACAATCACCCTTTTTGCTCTTTGGGTACAAAGACTTTCTCTACACCAAAATACACTGAACAAGTATGCAATAAAAATCAATATTTAAGCTATTACCATCTCAAACAAAAACATAGTAGTTTACCTAACACTTTCTATACAGAGGTTATTTTGAAAACATGAATTATGCATCAGGTTATTTTGCTTTGCATAAGCATGTCAAATGAGAGGAATAAAGAGGTTTCATCTTCTAGAACTCTAGTTTGTTATGTGCAGATGGCATTTCCATGTGTTTTGAAGTTCCCTAAAGGGTTGTTGTTGTTGTTGTTGTGTTATAAGTTAATTTTAAGTGCAGTTTGAATCATTAGTCCTCAAAAGGGTGGAAAATTAGTGGGAAGACATGGTACAGAAAGCAGAATTTATCTTCCAAAGAATGATTTCTTTATTCCTCTCCTCCACTAACCACCATCCACTATCAAGTTTTCCATCTGGGCAAGTATAATAAACCTTTTTTACAATATATTTTACATAAATCCATATTGTTTATTGCTTGTAAATTTGTTCTTATTATTCAGTTGATGCTTTTTTGGTA